AGGTCCACTGCCAGACTGTACTGACACCATGCAGGAACAAAGCTGCATAATGTGGTCTACAACAATCCACAGAAAGGCCTGGACAGAGCTCCTTCAGCTTTGTCCATGCTGTCGAGTGGCATCTGTTCATCATCTTTGGAAGCTCCGATTGTGCGCTTAGGCCGCTGTAGCTCCACTTTACCATACCACCCATCATGCCTCGCCAAGGTCTCACACAAATCTCAGCCAGCCATCTAGTCCCCACCCGTACTGATAGACAAAATGTATGTGTGTGGTCGAGCAACAGGTCTGCAACCTTTATTGAGCAGCTGCCACACAGATCATCAGCAGAGAACTTGTCATGGTCCATGACCTCAGACACTCAGTGCTGGCAAGCTTGGCGTCGCCGCCTGTGGCGGATACCATGCTGCATCAAAGCCCAGGCACGATTATTTCCAATTCCTGGCAAAAAAAGAGCAGGTAGGAAAGACCCGGATTTGCCTCACAGATGCTCTTGCCGGCCTCCTCCTCAGAGAAGGTCAAGACTCCTTGGTACCTTGTCAGGTTCCGCTGGGAGTCTGCAAGCTGTAGTGCTTTGGTTGGACGCAAGCCATGAGTAGCCCAGATGCTCGAACTGCGGATTGACGCCCACATTCCACATCACTGGAGTCTGAAACCGCTTGAACTCACCCAGCCTTTGGCGCTTCACGAAACATAAGCTTTGTCCGGGGGGCTATGAGACCAAGGATAACCTGAGGCGGCGGCTTGACTATACAGTAGGGGTCAAGCTTGTCGAAGATTGAGTCCCCTGATGCCCGGAACACACAGCAAGCACACCACAAAAGCACCAGCAAAGGCGCACATGCAAAACATCGGCCACTAGCGCGAGTGGCATCTTTGCGCACGGGTGCCGTGCTTATGCAGCTTGGCAAAGCTTCACACTTGTGGCTGTTTGCCTTTAATCGCAGCTTGAGTTTGGATACTCCAGAGATACTGCTGTCAGGGCTTTGGAGCTTCGGACACACTGCGAAGTCTCAGTGCAATCCTCCCACTGCTCCCATCCTTGCAACAGGCCAGTGATCTGAAATCATGTCTGCGCTGCTGCGTTACAGAAACATGCGGACTATTCCGCAGATTCTGCCACAAAAACGAAAACACGTGAAAAAGTAACCCTCCACAACAGAGCCCCGAGACAGAAAGCAAAAATGCTGCGTGCAACAACAAGATTCAATGGAGATGCCTTTCTCTGGACCATAAATTGTCAACTCTGGGCGGCTGGCAAGCGACTGTGGCACCAATGGGCGCTCAAGCTCGTCCAAAAGCCCCACACCAACGGAGCTATCCTCATTAACAACAAGGGTTGGGCCACGTCCGAACTCTTTCACCAGACCTGCAAGACCGCCTTTGTCCACAGGCTCCTTAGCATCTGGCAGAAGCAAAACCTGAACATTTTTGCTGGGGTCACCCCGTCCAAATAGCATGTTGCCATCTGGAAGCTGAGGCATATAGGCTTGCATCTCCGGTGACACAAGCTTGTACGGACCACGTTCCTCCAGCCCAGCCTCCTGCAAGTTCTTGCTAACTTCTGCAAATTCATCGGGTTCCACAGACAGAGCGATTAGCTCAATGGGATCTCGCCGGTCTTCCACGTAGGCACGAACCATGACGCCAGCCGGAGACTGCACACCGTAGTATCCATATCCGTCAATGAGCTGGCCACCAGTTCCAACGACTCGCGAAATGCGCACAAGGGCAGGAGTTGTTGTTTGCACAAAGCTCAAGCGTGGGCCTTTGCCAGAGTCTTTTGCACTCTCTTGCGCTTGCTGCGAGGGCAACACGATTTTGATTGCAAAATACGCCCCCTCGTCACCCCCAAAGCCTGGAGGACCGAAACCGACAACTACACCACCACCAGGCAGCGATGCGTAGCGTTGCATACCAAGTGCTTCACACCAGAACCGTTCCTCTTTTGCAACATCTGACGTCTCTATTTTAAGCTGGCCCACGAGGCGAGTTTGCTTGTCGGACCGCATGCTGTCTGAAAGGTCTGCCATGTAGGCCTGGTTCATATCAATTCGTTCTAGCTCTTTTTGCCAGAAGTCCACCATTTCAGGCTCACCCCTTTCTGATTCTCCCAATCCAATCGCCTTGCCAGCCTCCTTCTCTGCTGCCGCAAGACGGTCCTTTGCCGCCTTGAGCTGGACCTCTACATTCTTTTTTGCACCTGTTGCTGGCCGCGCCGGGCAGTTCACTGCTGCATCAATGATCGCGACACAGGTAGGTGGGGACACGGTTCCATCCCGTGCTGCTGCAATTGATGGCTGCAGCAGGAAAATGCTGAGAATGAATAGCACGACAGCACTACACTGGGTCCATGCGCTGAGGCTGAACGCCTCCGACTGATGCTCTGGACGAGGTCCACGGAGCGATGGCGATAAACCACTGCATCTCTGTTGCGACCTTCTACTAGATTTGCTGGCAGCTATGTCAGCTGGCACCTCAACAAAATCCACGCCAGCGCGACTTGCGACAAAGCACCAGCAAAGCGATGCTATTGTTGCTAGTAGCAGCGCGGGCCGCAGCATCCCAAACCCCATTGCTGCTGGGATAAGAGAAATGTCAAGGCAGGGAAACAAACTAAAACCTCGGCGTGGTCGCAAAAGCGTGGAAGCTCCTTTTTCTGTGATCGTTTTCAAATTGGCTTTCAATGACTAGCAAGCATTGAAGCAAGAGGCGCCTATGCATATGTGGGTTCCTCTGGGCCAGATGAACAATCTGAAGTGGCCACACTGTGTTCCCTTGACTCGTAAGACAGACATGCCTGCAAGATAGCTTCCACTGGGCCTGCTAGCTTCTCAGCCTTGTCTAGGAAAATGCCTCATAGCAACGCCACTCAGCTGCTGATAAAGTTACCTGCTGTCACGCCGTGCGGTCAAGATGCGCATTCGCTTCTTCTTCGGAGGCAAGGCATCCAGCTTTTCAGTAAGCTTGATGTCACCACGAACCTCGACGCCTCGCAGGTTGCCAAACGACCCATCAAGAAATGCGCTCAAATACCGGCAGCCCTCAGACAGTCGACACCAGCATGCTGGGCAAGGGGCTGCCCTTCGACACCATGACGACGCTGTCTTCCACAGGGGGATCGCTTAACAGCTCCTGACACATGACGGAAAAAAAGCCGTAGCCTTAGTTGAAGCTCAAAAAGAAGCGTCACACAACAAACGCAGCACTTTAGACGCCGCCTGCCCGGGAAGCAAATGGACTTGCGTAGCAACCTCAAGCTGTGAAGGCTGCGGCTGCGGGCCAAAACTGTCAGAGCACCTGTCAAAGCGCTGCAGGCCTGCCTTGGCAAGCTCTTCAAGTGCATGTTTCACAGCACCAGGCTGTTTCTCCTTCTGAACAAGGCGTTTCATGAAAGCTAGTGGCGCTTCTAGCTACAGCTCCTCCAGAATTTTCGACTTCTCAGCAAAGGAAAGGGAAGCCTCAGCAAGCAAGACAGAAAAAGGTTGACTTCGGTCATACCGATTAGGGCCCTCCAGCAGCAGGCTACCATCAAGGGCTGCACAAAATCTATCTTGCTGTGTGGGCCGGTGAAATTCTCAGGTAGTACCTCAGCTGCACAAGTGCCAAGGCGTGACATCTTTTGTTAGGTCCGAAATCCAGGGCAAAGACTACTCGCGAAAGCGCAGGTGCGTGGCGCATGCTCAGGGCAATCTTCCTATTTCCGAATGCCCGATCAGCATACGCTGCCTGTCCGGAAACCAAATGGGCTTATACGCTGTTTTCAATGGCAGTGATCAATCTCCATAGGCTTCCTGTCCTAAATTTTATCCAAACGGTGAGCGGCTCCAGCCTCCAACACTTCACTGCCCAGAACCTCGGACCCACATCAGGAATCTCAGAATGCGAGCCCCAGCTCAACAACACATTCATACCGAGAGCTTCCATCAAGGCGCTCCGATAATGCATGGCTCTTCGCATTGTGCAGCCCCACCAACAATGTCCATCATGGCTTCGTCCCCCAACCTGAAAAGAGTCATCCTCTGTGAAAATGCGATTGATCGATGCCTGCCTGAAATGGTTCTCCCCAAAGATGGCTCCTTTGGTGATCTCTTGACGTTCACCGACGCCATTAGGGTCCAGGTACAGGTGCACTTTGCCTTCGAAGTTGCATAAAGACAAAGAGCACATCGCGAGGAAGCTTTTGAAAAAGCATGCGCCTGACATGAGCAGGAAAGATCTGGAGCTTGCCCGCGGCCAGGCCGCCGCAAGCTGCTCGCTGCCAAATATCCAGCGCCCCATTGACAGCCTGGCCCAAGTAACAAAAAAGCCTTGCACCTACACACCATGTCCGTGCCTCAAGAAAGGCAATGCTCGCAAGAGCCTCTCGGAATATGAGGCAGCTCTATTGGAGCAGAAGAGCTTGATTCAAGTCAGCCCCGCAGCGCAGAAAGAGGCCTATCTAGCTGAACGTCGTCGAACCGCTGGAAAAGCAGAGGATTCAAAGCACGGATCTCGCGGGCCACAGATCTCGGTCCAGGAGCTTCTAGCGCTTAGAAGCCATAAGGCTGACAAAAACCCACAGAGTCTACACACAAGAGCCAAAATCAACACTCGTGCTTCCAAGCAGCTTTTCTAGGGCTCGCAGCTCTGTCTGCATCTTTTGAGGGACTCTGTGGCCAGTCTTCTCTGTGTTCAAGACGAGCTGCCGTATCCTGGGCCAAAACACTTTTGCACACGCCACTGCAGTGACCTTTGACCATGCTACCTGTAGTACAAGGGCAGGTAGAAGGTAAGACCTTTGGCCGCCGTCTCATCTGCCCCTGGTCAGCACGTTGGTATAGCTTCGACGAGAACAAGGCTGAATATGACAGCATCTTCTACATTGGTCGTGGTCTCCGTTTTGAAATGTCTTGAGATGGGACTGGATTCAGTGTGCGAAACTTTGTCGCAAACTGCAGGATTGAAAAGGACCGACTCCATAAAAGTGAAACCGCATGAGCGATGAGGCAGACATCATACTACGGCAAGCCATATCCCATTGTTCTTGTCCACGATGAGGAGAGCGGAGCCTGAAAATCACAACATTAGTGCAAATGAAAGCTATAGTTGGTGTTCAGCGCGTAACCGATTAGAATGCGACGAAAATAAAAAGCAATGATTTAACAATTACAAAAAACATCAACATACACATTGTACACATACATTGGCGGCCCGATGTGTTCCTTTTCTTGGTTTCGACTTGGCAGGCTTGAACATTATGAAATGATGGTCTGATTCTTGCATCGTTGGGTTGTTATTTGAGGGCCTCGCCCAAAAAATGCCAGCATTGCAAGACACTACTGCAGCTCAAGTTGTATTTTTCCAAAGGTTTGGGGCTTAAGTTTTTAGGGGTCAGGGTGTGAGGTTTATTTAGCGCGTCGGGCTGAAGGATTAGGATGGAAGAATTTTGAGCCTTGCCTTGACCTAGCAAGTTCAGGTGTCGGAGGTAAGGCTGAGAGCTTTGGGCTTAGGATGGAAGAAGGAAGTATAAGCCTTTTGGTGCAAAAGTTGTTGCTTGGATCGGTTGAGTACTTTCACACTTTATGGTTCCTGCGCGTGCACAAAAATAAAAACTTAACATCAAACCTGGCATTCACTACAATCCCGGATATCATCACCATCAGCGAATAACAAAGATTGCACAACATAACTGTCAGCTTTCGCGTCGTCGTCATCATCATCATCATCATCATTGTCATTGTTTATTGGAATTGTTTTCTCTTTGTGTTGGATTTCTTCCTGTGACCTGGCAGGGTCATCACACGATTGGGCAATCTATTGAGCTGTGTGAGAAAATTTGGGCGGATGATCCGTTTGGGCAGTGACTCTATTGGGCTGTGACCCAATCTGGGACGCAGGTGAGGGATCTATTGGACCGTGAGAAAATTTGGGACGCAGGGTGACGGATTTGATTTTTTATGGCGGAGAATTTATTGGGCTGTGCCAAATACAATCTGACGCAGATGAGGGATTTGAGTAGCTATGGTATGTGGCACTGAATTTATTGGGCTGTGTCAAAAAATCTGACGCAGGTGAGGGATTTGAGTAATTGTGGTAGTCAATCTATCGGGCTGTGAGAGAAAATTTCCGACGCAGGTAAGGGATTTGAGTAATTCGGCTCTTGGGCGTTCTGCTCTAGAGCAGAAAAGCATCTCCAAAGGTATGAACAAATCCCTATATCATGTAAAAGAAGCCTGTAGACAGTCCCCACCACAAAATGAGTTTCCATTTGCTCTTCCATTCCCCTATATACCCCCATACAGAAGCGAGATTGGATTGTTTCTGGCAGAGCTTGGATATGTCCAGCTGCGGGGTCTGATCAAATCGGGGGTAGAGCGCAAAAAGAAATTCAAAAAAAACAGAAAAAAAGAATGCCACCCCCATCGGAAACCATTCGGATGCTTTATCAAATTAATGCTTATGATGAGTGCCGGTGTTGCCGCACAGCATTGGCTTGCTCATACGCGTTTTGGGCGTGACCACCACACTGCAAATGAAGTAACTATCTTTCTTTCATTGGTTCGTTCGTCCATCATCGCTTTCCATAGCATCCCAGTCATCGTCATCCCCGACAAACTTTTTGTTTATTCATGATAAGCGTTATCCTAAGTCGTCGTCATCATCATAATCATCACCATCCGGAAACAGATGCTACACTACTGCCGTACTCCAATCACATGCTGTGGACAGGAACCCAATTAGCGGCAATGATGCCACTGCTCCAACCGGCCTTCAACTCATGGGATTCAGAAAGCCCTATGCAAATCCAGACAATTCGGATCTCCAGGTTGCCTGGACTCACCGGCTTCAAACGAAATCCTGAAAAAATCCGGATTTCCTGGTTATCTGCATGCACGTAACAGGAAAGTGTATGGAAATCTGCATTTGCAGACCATATATGATTGTGCGCTCTGCGTTTTCCCCCCCCCCCCCCCTCCCCGCTTAAATCACGATTTTCCAGCTATACGCACTCAGGAGGTTTAGAGCAACCCCACAAGAAACCCACATTTTCATGCTACCTAAATTCAGGAAGTCAGGAGGATATCAGGATATCCCACGAAACTCCACTTTGGATGAATTCCCATGTAAGATCGAAATTTCCAAGCCATATGAACTCTGGGAATCCCACCGGCAATCCGCATTGTCAGACTACATCAGATCAAGAAGCCAGGGGACTCAAGAGGATGTCCTATTTGAAATCCAGATTTCGGGCGGGCTCACGCTCGCCCCCAGCTGCGAGCTGCGTACCACCCATCCAGCAGAGGATCCAGCCGCCGCGTGCTGCCCATCCAGCCGCCAACCCACAGCGCCGAACCCCGCACCACCCATCCAGCCGCCGCGGCCCACAGCCCGCCCACAAGAACGCGCCGCTTGCCACCCATCCAGCAGCGGCATTCTTCTTCTCTTCCATGGGCCCATTGCGGGCCCACCGCGGCCAACTGGCCCACAAGTCCGCGCCACGCGCCACCTATCCAGTTGCCGCGTTGTTCTCGTCTTTGTGGGCCCACCGCGGGCCCACGAGTCTGCGCCGCGTGCAGCCCATCCAGCCGCCGCGTTCTTCTTTTCTTTTGAGGAGGGGACCCCCAAACGTTTCCTGATTGGGGAAAAAGGCACGAGCCAAAAAATTAACGATCTGAACTTTTGATCAGCTGAAATTTCTGCCGGCGAAGACCCAAACAGCATGGATGGAAAACATGCCATTGAAAGTTATAGTTGGCGTTCAGAGCTTTTCCAACTTATCCTCTTAGAATGTGAGGAAAACACAGTAACGATTCGAGAACTACAGAAAACATCTACAGATCTACATGGACATGCCCATTTAACTGAATTGGCGGCTGGATTGTTCCTTGTCTGGGTTTCGATTGTGCTTGCTCGAACAGCATGGAACAATAGTCTGATTCTTGCATCCCTCGATCTTAATTTGAAGGCCTCGGGCAGAGAATAACAGCATTGCACGCCACTACTGCAACTCAAAAGTGCTTTGGGTCTCGCAGGTTTGTTGTTTTTTGAAACCTGTCGGACTTTTGCGTCTGCACTGGGTGCAAGGGAAAAATCCAATCCTCGTCGAGACTCATTGCACCTTGCTCAGCTTTCAGGCATGCTTGCGATTGACAAACATTGCAACACTTACGATCGTTCCCTCAGCCGTCTCAACAGTCGTGGATTGCGGTTTAATGCTTAGGGATCAAGGCTGGGGGTTCCGGGGTCAAACTGGGGGGATTTTGATCCCGTACTAACCTGGCAAGTTTTTGGGTTTGGGGTGGAGGGCTGAGGGATAAGGATGGAAGCATCTTGAGCCCGGCCTTGAGCTGGCAAGTTTAACTCCGCCCATTCAGCCCCCGGTCCAGCCACTGTCAGCCCATAGTTCCACCCCGCGCCCATCCAGTCGCCGCTGCCGATCCAGTGGCCGCGGGCCCCCAGCCAGCCCACAGAAACATGCCGGCCATCCAGCCGCAGCGTGCTTCATTTCTTCTAGGGAGAGGAGTTTGAGAGCACCCAAAACACTTCCTGTTTGGACCCAGCGCACGCGGCTCTCGGTCACGCGCAGCTTTCAGACCAGAATCTTTGCAGGAATTGGTACCTTTCAACGGCAGAGTGTGTCTTTTCATAAGTGTGGCTCACCCCTTTTTTCATACTGTAGGTGTGGCTCATCTATCCTTGGCACTTTTGCCATGCAACGATCATGTGACAGCTCAAAATCAACGATAGCTACGAGGATGGCGACCCCGACCCTTCTGATCCCTGTGGTTGCTGACACTTTCGACATGCAAACAAGATTTCAGAGCACGAAACGATGACAGTTACGAGGATGGTGACCGCGACCCGCCTGATCCCTGTGACTGTTGACACTTTTGACACGCTCACTTACCAGCAATCGTAATCTTATTATTTACCGTATTGTATTCTTCCAAGAAGCGCAAGTCTAGCTGATGCTGCAATATTCGTAGCTTTACAAGAATTCCAAATGCAATTCACTTAACCTCCTAACAGTTCCACCTGCTGCTACTCGAGATACCATTATTTACAATGTCGGTAGCCGTTCAAGAGGTGCAAGTGTCAAGAACTCCAAACATACAAAAACATGTAGGTGCTTGTGAAACTGGGCTTCAAAAAGCAGTGGGCCTACTTTTTCACTTGATAAACGTGGGCAACGGTAAGAACATGTAGAGCTTATAGGCTACTTAAAATCAACATAAGTCGGGATCAGATTTGGCAGGCCATTGCTTGCTGCAAAGATTAAAGGACCGGAAAACCCCACATGCGTGGTTCAACCTGAATCTATGCATAATGATATTCTGACACTGTCGCCCGCCGAAATAAGAAGACATGTTCAAAAAGGAAGGACGAAGGTGACGGTGGTCATGGTGGTGATGTGGTGATGGTGGTGATGGTGATCGTGGCAGTGGTGATGATGGTGATGGTGGTGACGGTGATCGTGGCAGTGGTGATGATGGTGATGGTGATGGTGGTGATGGTGGTGACGGTGGTGATGGTGGTGATGGTG